AGAGAGAGAGAGAGAGAGAGAGAGAGAGAGAGAGAGAGAGAGAGAGTGAGAGGTAGAGAGAGAAGCAATGTAAGACACACTACACTCTGGTTTGAGCTGTTGCTTAGAAATAGCTATAAAAATATTATGGCTTTACATACCAAAAATATCAAATTTAAATAACCATTTTTTAGTTCTGTTATGTGAGAACTGAAGATCTAATGATCCATGATATATTGAGAGCCATGATAACAGTACTTATCCAAATCTATACCTATCGAGATATCAGATTTGATATACGCACCGATTTCCAGCAGCCTGTAAAGCTTCAATTAGTAATGAAACAATGTAATTATCTAGGTGCTGTAGGATCCCACCTGCTAGCAGCCTGATTGACAGCGTTGCTGTAAAGTCTTGCAATCCCTTTGCATTCCGCCAGCTAATGGGTAGAGCTCTTTAAGGGGGTTGTTCCTGGCCGTAGAGTGGAGTGGAGTGGAGTGGAGGGTGTTGCATGTTGCAATTAAATTAGTTCGGCCTGGCTGGACGCAGCGTCCAGGGCTTTGCTTCGACGTCTGCGTTTGATGGAAAAGTTGTTGCGACAAAACAAKTGCAAGTGCAAGTGCTGTATCTGTATCTTACAGATACTTATGCAGCCAGCTGCGGCCTGGGCCGAAAGTTTGCCATTGGCAATGACGATGATGATGATGATCATCAACTAKCTGATGATAATGATGATGACCTGCGCAACAATAGTTTGCATCTCATATCTAACATCTCGCATCTCTCAGATACAAATGTTCAAGTTCTCCGAGTTATTCGCAGCGAATGAGAATAGGGCATATTAGTTTTGTGACAAAGCTAGTCGTTGAGGCTTACAAGAAATAATACACTGCTCATGGCTGCATATTTACATAAATGAATTTATATTTTTAAATATACATTTAGATAAATATGTATTTGTTTACAAAGTAGAGTATTGCCAGGTTGAAGCAACTCAATGCTAAGCATGTTACGTGGTATAGTTGTTGTTGCTGCCGCTGGTGTGCCGCAATCAACTGCACTTCATGTTGCGGTTGCCTCTAACAACTTAGCCAAAGCGAAACCAAGTATGTTAGCCAGTATTGTGTGTCTGCATGTGCGTGCATGTGTGTGTATATGTGAGTGCGTGTGTGTATCTAATCACATTAGCACGTGCACATATCCTTTCTGGCCCTGTGGCCGTGCAGTTCCCCAGGCTGCCATTGCCTCGAGCTAAACTAAAAACATTTTGGATGCTTTGTTTTTGCCTCATTTCGCTTTGTCGATTTTGATTATTTGTCTGTGGTTGCGCGTTCGCCTTTTGTTTTGCTAGCATTTTGGGCAACTATTTGAAACTCAGAAGTTGTTCCCCGTTCCCATCATACCCACATTGGCACTCACGTATGCCAAATGCGTAGCAGTTTCTTTCGTGTGGTTGAAAGTTTTCGTCAAAGGCAGCCGAAAAAAACTTATTTGCACGTTTGATTAGGCGCGAAATTCAAATTTTTCCAATGGGTGTTGTCTGTGCTAAGCTATCGCCGGTACAGACTTATCGATAAATCGCTTAATAACAACGGAATACCAGTGGATGTTAGAGCACGTGGTGTGTGTCTTTGCTATGCTATCGCCGGTACAGACTTATCGATAACCTATGTAATAACATAGCATTTGCAGTTAGCATAAAGTGCATGCTGTTAATAGCATAGTATAAGTGCAAATTTAAGACCATATGTTTTTGGCAAGTGCATTAGAAGCTCCCTAAACTTATTCTAGAAGGAAACTAAAATGATAGTACCTAAAGAAAGGTTACTGACAGCATTCCTTATTAACCAAAAGAAGGCCATAAATGAGAATACGAAAGCATATAAGCGTCAGTGGTGCCGTGTGTCGGAATGATCAGAAAATAAATCAAATGAAGTAAATGCAACAGCATTAAAATCCTGTTGCATATCTGTGAATTGCTGGCAACTGAATAAGTGTCAACTATAGTAAATGTAGTATATAATTTTAACGAAAATTAACTGTTGCAGACAAATAAAATTTCTTATTGCTAGTCAACACGCGGGAAGCACAAGTCCAAGCAAATTTCTAATCACTTGTTCGAGTTACCTGGATTTTTGAACATGTAAGTCTTTTGCAATACATTGAATAATATAGCCTACTTTGTCGGCAACTCTCTCTATAATTAGATTAGTCAAAATGCTTCCCCAAAAACTCGAAAATCCAAAATAAGTCTACATCCCAGAAAAATAAAACTAATTATTTTTGAAATGCAGCAAGGGAATATTTTATATATATTTTCTTTCTTTCATATTTTCAAGCAAACTTCTAACAAAGCTATATAATTTATATTTTTTCGGCAACGAGTATTTTTGTTTTCTTCTTAAACTTTTTGGCTCAATACATATTTAATTCTGTTGTCATCAAAGGATTCTTTCCGAGTATATATTTTTAAGATTATTTAGGTACAGTGAAAGTTTAGCCATGAAAAATAAATTTTTTTTTTAACAAACAAAAAATGTTACTTGGATTTAAAATAACTTTTCGATTGAGAGTAAAATTAAAAATGATTTGTAAAATATGAAAATTTACAATATTTTGCAAAAATTCTTTAAAACAGATTTTTTTTTTTTAAGAATTGGTCTGGAGATTCTTTTAACAATCAATTTTTCTTTAAACGCAGAAGTTATTTGCTTTAGCGATCATCCACTGTACCATGTATAATTATTGTGCTCTTATTTGGGTGAGTTTTTCTATTCACTCTTGACCGGCACATAGGTGAAAACAATGGTCGAGTGAGGTGAGACCTTCAGCTCATTGAGGTCGACCTTGCTCGAGTACAATATGTTGGTGGCATTGCCTTCGTTGAAGTTCTCGCTGAAATAGGAGACGGTCATCTTCTCGGGCAGATTGTTAACGGCGGTAAAGTTGCTCAACTGCGGCGAATCGGTGGGATTAAAGATGACAAAGTAGCCGGGACTGCCAGACTTGATTCTGTAAAAGAGCATAGGATTAGAAAAGAATTTTGATAGGGGGAAAACATGAAAAGTAAAATTCTCTGACAGAACATATATAACAAGTAACATATTGAAAGTAATTGAAGAATATGTGAATTACAATATCATATGAATTTTATAAATTATTACTAATATTTAGTAAGCTTTCATGATTAATCATTAAACTAAATTGATTGTTTATGGAATTGAAATTAAAATTTGAATGGAATATATATTACGAATATACCTTTGCCTTTATGGGTAAGCATGAAGAGTTGAGGATAAGTTAGGTTAGCTTAAAGAATTCACTTCCATATACATAGTTATCTCTTGAGCTTCGACTTACCTGGAGTAGGCAATTAGCTGATTGGCCTCGAAGATGTTAAGCTCGCCATGCATGTATGAGGGCGAAAGACGCATCTGTTGGATTTGACTGTAGGTCTCCTCTTTGACATTCACATACTCAATGGAGTCCACAGGCACGACGGGCACGCCCGGCAGCAGGGACATGAAGAGTGCCAGTGCAGACGGATGCGACGTGGTGTCCACGTAGACATCGCCAAAGTTCCACTGCAGCCAACTGGTGTTGCCCGTGTCCATGAGAGTTTGTTGTAGCTGCTGTTGCAGTTTCTTGTTTGTCTTCGAGGAGCTGAGTGTTCGTACGAATTCTCCGTACATGGGCAAGTCTATGCCCAAAGCACCGCCCGATTGGCTCAGCACGTACGCTTCAGGACGTATAATATCCTCGGCCACCGAAAGGAATGCATCCGCAGAGACGTTCTTTACCATGCCCAAATAGTCGTAGAGCACATCGCCCAAACCATTCTGGAATGTGGTCTGTGTGTGGGTGTAGAAGCCATAGTCCACCATATTTAGTTGGGTGGTTGTGTGCGAGATCTCCTCATCGGCCAGATTATCGTTGACCAGATAAAACTTGGTGTTCTTCAAGCGGAAGCCATGCACTCCCAGTCCAAGTAGATGTCGTAGCACATCTCCAAACTCTTTGCGCACTAGCGTAGAATTCATCTTCAGATCGTAATGGCCCTCTTCGAACTGTGACAGCACATAGCTGTTATCTTGCTTTATCCAGGCGCTGGAGTTGCCGCCCACCTTCTTCCAGTTGTTAGGCAGCTCACTGCCAGCGTCTACCCACACAAATGCAGCCCGACTATCTGCATTGGCCAGCGCATCGATGAACAGCTGAGAGTTGTTGTTGACATAGTTGGGTGTGAGATCGAGCACGACCTTCACGTCGCTGGACTTGTAGAAATCAACGAGTTGCTTGATTTGTGCCTCCACATCTGCTTTCTTCACGTCGTAGGTCTGCGCAGCGGGCAGCTCGTAAATGGCACCCGAAGCGAACAGTTTCTGGGCGGCTTGCAAGTCCTGGGGCTTGGCATCAGCCACGCTGCCAAACTTGGCGTGCAGTCCGCGCTTGTACCAGGGCAAGGGTTCTGGTGCCGCACACTTGGGTGCACCTATTATGATCATAATGGCGCCCACGAGCATGCCCACCCAGATGACCCAGAAGCTCACAAAGAATATCCAACGCAAACGCACCCAGAAAGGATCATTGGCATACTTCATTAGCTCCTCCTTGCTCATGCCAGTGAAAGCCTGTGCAAAATAAAAGAGACAGATAGAGGGTTAGTTTCATAATCGTCATGCTGGCACTCTCACACACACTTACCGGCTTGCCGTTCAGATTGCCTATGTCGATCTTTGCGTCGCCATTCTGTTGATCGCCCTTTATGAATTTGACCTCGTCGCGACGCTCCGTAAGTTTCTCATCGGCTGTGCCGGCGCCTAACATCTCCTCATCGGCGCCATCGGCCGCAAAGTTCTCTTCCTTTACCATCTCGACTGACAAAGCAGCTGATTGAAGCAAATAACGCAGAGCGTCTATCAATTAACATCAATTCAGCTTGTATAGATGTGTGCGTATACGTGTGTGAGCTTCAATTTATTAAAGCGTCGCGTGTTTTTTCTCTAAGCAGACCTGAAATGCCATTTTGGCTTTTTTTTTATTAAGCCCAATCCATTTTATTCAGCTTTCATAGAATATTAAGTGGAGCAAGCCAGTTTGAACTTTTTATACCTCAAATTGGCCACCAAAAAATGCTACGTTTTGCTTTTCTACTGTGCCCTACACTATATCAAATATATTAGGCAAGCCGCTCAGCCAATTTCCACCCCTAGAATTGACTCTCGAAAATGCGCATCGCTGTTCTATGATCTACACATGCAATTTCGTATATTTCGAGGTTAGGGCTATGCTGCACACTCGGTAATGAATTTTATTTAAAAATTTCACGCATATTCTAAAAATAAAAATTGTATTTACTTCTATATATCTTCAAGTTCTGTATTAGTTAATTGACTCCCTTTAATTATACTCAATAAAATTTATGAACACGTTGCTGACGTCACTCGGTTTACCCATTAATGAATTTGAAGCTGTGGTTTTCCCTACTCCGTAACGGAAAATCAATATTTGCACTATATTAACGCATTTTTGCTAAGACACACACGCACGTACACACATCTACTTTTCTCTTTAAGTGCTGAAATTTTCAACTTATGTTACATCAGCCTTCGAGGCGTGTCGGCTAGCTTTAAACAATAGCTTCAAATTTCATATACATATACCTTGTTCAATGTTCTGGCTATGTGCTGGCAACTTTTCTTCTTTAATTGCTTTGTAGACTTCCGTAGATTCAAGTGATGCTTCCTGATTTTGTGCGACGACTGTGCGAGTTTATTGCAAATAAAAGTTTTCAATGAGCACGGTCTCTTGACACTGTTATTTAACATAACAGAACAAATGTGACATTAGCAGTGAGCATCTTTTAACAGTGATGCCACGGTTTTTGTTCTGTTAAGTTATGTGTCATAAACCAGTAGAATGCATATAATTAAATGAATAATTGTTGTTTTTGTGCCCACTTACCAGCAACAGTGACGGGTAGCGTCACCGAGCTCTGTAATGAAAATATTGTTAGATAATGCTGCTAGTAGGAGGAGTAAATCTGTTAAGTGCACAGACCACCGTACTCGCAAAGTGGCAACGCCAACTAATTGCGCGCACAATTCAAAAGAATACGGTAGCATAAGTTTATTTTTATATTTTGCCACGTTGCTCACCTTGCTAGCAGTTCCAATATGTTTAAGCCGCGAAAACAAATTCATTTTGTAATATATATAGTATAATAATAAGTGAAAGTGAATACTATATTATATAAATAAAAGCACAAAAACTATTTAATGAGAAAAGAAAAAATATAAACATTAAATATAAAAACATAAAATAATTTCTATAATTTCAATAAATTTAACGATTCAAATTAAACAATGCAGAACACTCTTTTGTAAAATATATAGGTATTTCAAAAGTTTCTTTTCTTTTTTTTAATTCTTTTGTGTTCATTTTGTTCTTTACTTTTTCCGACTTTACTAACCATTCGCACGCGAATCTCAATCAAAACTGAAACAGCAATTGCGATGGATGCTCAAACAACTCTCGACTCCAATTAACTGACTTGTCGCAATGTTGTTGCTTTCGCTGTTGCTGTAGCCGTTGCTGTTTTTGCTGCTGCTGCTGCTGCTGCTGGTGGTGGCGGTGCTGCCGTTGCAGCAGCCACATTTGATTTAATAATAATATCCCCACATCCAACGTCGAACGCACGTTTAAATTACAATTTATATAGCTGCGCCAGTTGCCGTCCACAAGCTACCTGGTCCCCCAATGGAGCGCAATGAAGTTGCAGCGGATCTTGCCTGAGAATGTGTTCGAATGGCCAATGCTACTCGACCGTTCGGCTGCTGACTTGTTATACCCTACAAATGTCTGAGTTATTAACGACATTCGCCTGACAATTTATAAAAAAAGTTTACGTGAATGAAAATGTAAACATATAAGACGATAAATGAAGTACATTAGCTTATATTTATTTTTTTATAATTATAATTATTGTGAATATATTTTATGTTT